ATGTTGACATATCTGTAAAGTTTAGATTCTAAAACTGCTTTTCATGTCTTAGAGTTCCCATATAGTTCAAGTATTGTGTATATCGTAAATTGTGCAATGCCTTTGAGAGATGGAAAATACAAAGTGCACCTTCAACTTCCATTCCCGTATTATTTCCAACGTCATTTTCAGAACACTCATTGCAATGTACATTGTCGTTAAAATTACATGAGCATTTCCTCGATAATATTTTAGCATCAACAATTTTCCCAGTGTCCCCACTATAACTGCCATAACAGTACTATTTACAGAAGTATGGCCCCTTTTTTGGCCAGGTACCATCGATAGCCACCGGTACATTTGGACCTCCATTATTATTTATTACTGCATTATTGTTTCGGCAGCAGCGAACGTCATAGACGCTTTGGCTACTTTCTATGTTGTGTTATTTAATTTATGCATGGACTCGCAAAAACACTTTGATGCAGGTGACAGATAACTCCGCAAAATATTTTCGCAACTGCTTATTTTTTAATATACCTAATAACATATAAAAGCCTAGTGTTCACTTCATGTAATTGTATATCTTTTTTGATTAACTACTGCTTTAGTAAACTTAATATTAGAAAATGTTTTAATAACACCACAAAAATCACAACATATTAACAATTTTGTAGCCAAACCCTGGATTTGACAACCAAAATTTATGTGAATACCTTGTTTTTTACATTTTATTTATGTAATTAATGTTGTTTGAAAGCACAAGAAAACAGTACAATGTCAGTCATTTCTCAAAAACATTCTAATGAATTTAAAAAAGAAGCATCCTCTTTATTAAACTTACCTAACTTTACTTTCAAAATTGAATTATTTATGTTGCAATTGTCTGACTGTTATGCAACATTTAATTCCTCGAAAGTTTCGGTTTTCGTACCTACTTTTCCAAACTTTCGTTTTTTAAGTGTTTTATGATTAAACTTAGGCATATTTATAAAATCATTTTGATAAGAAAACCGATTCTGCACAATAGCAAAAATTCGTTATATTTAAACGCGTAAAAAAAGGGTGTAAGCTACCACAAAATAAACAGCTATAACTATTCACTTCACTTCTTTCCTGAATAAGCTCCTAATCAAAATGAATTCTTTTGATCAATTTAAACTATTTGATAAGGCTGAAAAGGAGCATGTGTCTTTTGTTTTCATTTGAAAGGGGCGTGGCAGTCAGCTGTTTGAGGGTTTGACAAATGTAAACAACTTTTTTAAAAAATATTAAAAGTACTTCTAATTCAGCTAGAGCAAATATTCAAATTGCATTAAGAAGAAAAAGAGTGGTATTTTATTTTTCAATCAAAATTAAAAAAATCGATTTTTAATTCAATTTTCCTGAAGTGACCCCCTTAAAATGCACCAGATTTATAATTCTCATCATCTTTTACTTCTAAAACACTATTTTTTTCTTTTTAAGTGCTCTTAAAATTTTCCTGTGTTTCCTTGTTTTGGGGTCTGCATTATGAATTGATTTACAGATTCTGCATTCATCTAAAAGTTTATATCCCCTTAAGGTAAACACTCCAGGATTTTCTATATTCATCTTATTAAAAACCTTTACACACCCACTTAATCCTTCATTGAAGTGAATAATAGACTCATATGAAACACACACACACAAATTTAATTGTTTTGAGCGAAACAAATACTTCCTTCGGTACTTTTCCAAACTTTTCCATTAAAACACTCGCTGGCATTTTGCTTACGTCCATTTAAGCGCTTGCTTAATATCTGTTTGTCGTATAGTTCTATATATACTGGTTTAATTTTTTTTAAAACATCATTTGAAAACCAGCATTTTTTGGGGGGAAAACATTTTTTTCCCCTTTGTTCACCCCCCCCCTGAAAATAACACCCCCTTCCTTTCCCTATTGGGCATTGACCATGCATCGGTTTCTTATCACTTGATGCACAGTGATATAACGCAGCAATTACATTTTGCTGCATGGCATTTAAGTTACCAACATTGCTGCGAAAAGCAATTCCGTAGTAGTTTTGAAGTCTGTCGATAAAATTATCAGTTAATTTGCCTTTACCAGACAGTCCTTTAACTTTAGTTTTCAGTTTTCTCAGACGTGAGCCGACTCTCTTTTGTACATCGTCAATGCACTCAAACGTGGTCACACTGTTTATTCCATTAGTGTCTTTCACACTCATAAAAGCTTTTGAGTCACCATCCCCATAATATTGACTGTATTAAAGTCTGCGGGTTTTTTTCTGATCGAAGAAATATTCGGGAATCCCCCACAATTTCCATTTTTGATGAAGAGCCTGCGAAGTTACACTGACATTTGTGGTCGGCTTTTGACGACTCATATTCAAAGTTTCTTGGCATAGTCTGAAGTCTCTTACATGTAGGACAGAAGGACGACATAACTTCTATGTCTAACACCCCTTACCAGTATCAACTGATATTGCAGCACCACATCCATTCATAGATGTACAGCCTCTTCGCTGCCATGTGCCATAAACCGATATGCCACATTTTACAATATCAGTTGAGAGATTTTGTTTTTTCTTCATAATTTCGGTTGCAGCTTTTATCATGGATTCTTCAGCTTTTTCCTGAACCACTTTTAAAAGCTTTGCTTCCTGATTTTTTAAAGCAGTTTTGGTTAGTCGAGGCAATTTTAATGTCGAGCATAATTTAAATGCCCCAGCAAAACTTTTGCCTATATGCCGCATACCATATAAAAGCCTCGTATTTATGACAGATGCATTTACAACTTTTTTTGATGAAGCAAATGCTAAGAAAAAGTCACAAGACTTACATTTTAGTGTAAAATGGGAGTGCAATCCATATCTGGAATTCTCAATCAGTTCTACTTTTTCAGCAAAACGTTTTGGGCTGCAAAGTTGAGCAAAAGCTTCCACAATAAGATCAAGGTCAACGATTCTGTTTCCAAACACAGGACTAGGTATTTCGTCTGCAGTTGACAAACTCTCATTTCCTAACTTTGAAGAGCTAGCAGTACATACAGGAACTGCTGAAGTGATGTTATTTTTCGAAGTTTTTGTAAGTTTCTTTCCATAAAATTGCCGCTTGCGCTTTCTAGCAATACTTTTAACCATTTTTAAGTTAAAATAAAGCAGAATAAAACAATCAAATAAACTTTTTTACGCTTTCAGTTCTTTCAGAAAGAAAATCAGACGCACATGTAAACAAAGTCAAAACAACAAACTTGCTGTCAGGTTTTCAACATAAAAAAGGAAAAATGTATTTCCAAATACGTTTATATTTATTCTTAAATGTTCCATTTTAATTTCTGACTAAATATTTGTATATTAATTATTATATTTCATGTCATATACCATGAAAAAGAAACGTAAACAAACAACTCGGGGCACTTCCGGTTAGCAGAAAACCATTTCCGGTCCGAGAAATTTATGATTAAGTAATATTTAGAAAGCTGTAACTCGGCTTCTAATTAAGATAGAAACAAATATTAAACAGATTTACAAAGATAAAAGATTGAATTTTAATACAAGATCAAAACAAACATTCGATAGTTTGACCAAAAATTGAGTTTTAAAGGTGTTCTGTCACCTTAAAGAGATGTTTGCCTCTGTTTGAGTTTACATTACAATTCCAAGCATTGTGAGTAGCATTGAAGTCGCCGAAAATTACACAATGACTTCTCGTTTGGAGAAAATATTCTAAATCTATTGTAAACAAGTTTTCATCGGAGGAAAGGGGAATATAAACAGAGACAATAGAAATGGGATCTTGGTCATGGGGAGTTAGTATATTGTTAGTAGCTTCGATAGCTTGTAGGGAGACAATAATTTTTAAGAGAATTTTCTATAAGAATTAGAGTTCCACCGGCGGCTTCAGTATTAGTGCTTCTATCATTCCTATAGCAGGTGTATTTGGCTATTGTAAATGTGTGCGATGGTCTCAGATGAATTTCTTGAATGAGAAAAATATCGGGGGAGTGCTTCTCTATGAATATACGCAATTCAACTTTGCGTCTAAACAAACCATTTGCGTTCCAAGAACACAAATTGAGGCCAATAGGGGACTTAACCATTATTATTATTACATGAAGCCTCTAATAAGGCGTGCATTTGATTAGGACTAATGCTTGCATTTTGCACTTGGTTAAAATTATTCATAAATTTGCATTTGAGCTAGCGATGGCTTGAGTAAAATGCGAGAGTTGACCCAGGCATTGCATTGTCATCTGTAAGGTGGCTTGCAAGTTAAAGTTATTACTATTAAAATTAATTCCTTTAAAGTTATTTCCATTAAAATTACCTTTAAACTTATTAGTAAAATTTGGAATAAATCTCTTTTTAGGGGGAGAGTTTTTCTTGGCCTCAGAGTTTGCGCAGAATTCACAGGTTCTTTTGGCGCCATCTGTTTTCTATTTTGAGAGTTAGAAGTACCTACATTTTGATTTTTTGGATTAGCAGCTTGAGCGTAAGAGATATTTCGTCTGACAATGCTATTGCAAATGTTGGTGTAAGAATTACGATTATTAAGAGCCGTGCCCTTAGGTGGCTTAACGTAGTCTCAAGGTCCAGGGTTACCTTATATATATATTTTTTTAATTTGCGATCCCCCCCCCCCCGTTTTTCATGGAAAAAAGCAGAATTAACGTTTCTGATGTGATTAAAGTCATTATTTGTGTAGAAAAATATTCTTATTCATAAAATATATTAATATTAATGTGTATTTAAGCAGCTTAGCCGGTCATTTTCTTCCAAAACCAAGTTTTTTTAACTTTGTGCTTAAGATGCCTACACGTGGCGCCATCTGCAGCCATTATATTAAAGCTAGCCAAACATGGCGTTAGAAAATTCTGGAATTAAGGATATATGTATTTTTCACAATTTTAAAATTTTCTAGACAATAAATGACATTTCTATTATTCATGTTGAATTTATATAAGTAATTTACGTTCTCAGCAAAAATTTTAAACCTATATTATGTTTTTAGTACATGTGGAACTCCATCGAAAAAAGAGTTGTAGTCGATGGGATTCGAACCCATGCGGGGATATGCCCCCCAGACGGTGAGTACAGGTCCCGTCTGGCGCCTTAACCTCTCGGCCACGACTACGTGGTGAAATGCATTGCAATAATAGGTTTGGTGTGAAATAATGAATTTTTAACGGAGAAAGCAATGAAAAAATTAGTAATATACTCGTATGCCATAGTTATGTACCCACCTATTTACATAAATTATTTTTCAGGTGTTCGCTTAAGGTAACAGAGCACCTTCGACGAAAATTTTTTGATTTAACCTAAATTTTGCCTGTAAATGCATATTTTATGACCTAATGGGTCTCTAAAATTAGAAAAATACCCAAGAAAAGTTTTGTTAGTGTACATTTTTACTGTCAAAGGGGTATTTTATAAAAAAAAATAAGCAAAATAAGACTTTACGCAAAACATGATAACTCTAAAGAAAATAAATATATTGACATTTTGTAAATTGAATAATATAACATACTACCTTATCGAGGGAATAGACTCTTATTTTGGTAATATAACTATTACGCGTGGGAAGTTATTGTGTTTCGAGCTTCTATACTTTTACATTTTCTTGAAAAGCTATTGTAATTTTCAATTTATTGCTATATAAAAAAAATTCTAATCAACACAAAATCTTAAGAATGTTCTATACCCTGTATAAGTATTTAAAAAACATACATACATAAAATTTTTATTTCATTCAAGCATAACTTTTTGAGATATTGTGTTTTGTGGTAAGAAAAAATGTGAAAAAACTCATTTTGAGAAAACGACAAAAATAATATTAAACTCATCTGATTACAAGAAAAACACTTACTTTCTTATTAAAATGCACCAGATTTATAATTCTCCCTATCTTTTACTTCTAAAACTCTATTTTTTTTCGTTTTAAGTGCTCTTAAAATTTTCCTGTGTTTCCTTGTTTTGGGGTCTGCATTATGAATTGATTTACGGATTCTGCATTCATCTAAATGTTTATATCCCCTTAAGGTAAACACTCCAGGATATTCTATATTCATCTTATTAAAAACCTTTAGACACCCACTTAATCCTTCATTGAAGTGTATAATAGACTCATACGACCCACACACACACAAATTTAATTGTTTTGAGTGAAACAAATACTTCCTTCGGTACTTTTCCAAACTTTTCCATTAAAACACTCGCTGGCATTTTGCTTACGTCCATTTAAGCACTTGCTTAATATCTGTTTGTCGTATAGTTCTATATATACTGGTTTAATTTTTTTTTAAAACATCATTTGATAAACCAGCATATTTTGGGGAACATTTTGTTCCTTTGTTCAACCCCTGCTGAAAATAACACCAACTTCCTTTCCCTATTGGGCATTGACCATGCATCGGTTTCTTATCACTTGATGCACAGTGATATAACGCAGCAATTACATTTTGCTGCATGGCATTTAAGTTACCAACATTGCTGCGAAAAGCAATTCCGTAGTAGTTTTGAAGTCTGTCGATAAAATTATCAGTTAATTTGCCTTTACCAGACAGTCCTTTAACTTTAGTTTTCAGTTTTCTCAGACGTGAGCCGACTCTCTTTTGTACATCGTCAATGCACTCAAACGTGGTCACACTGTTTATTCCATTAGTGTCTTTCACACTCATAAAAGCTTTTGAGTCACCATCCCCATAATATTGACTGCATTAAAGTCTGCGGTTTTTTTTCTGATCGAAGAAATATTCGGGAATCCCCCACAATTTCCATTTTTGATGAAGAGCCTGCGAAGTTACACTGACATTTGTGGTCGGCTTTTGACGACTCATATTCAAAGTTTCTTGGCATAGTCTGAAGTCTCTTACATGTAGGACAGAAGGACGACATAACTTCTATGTCTAACACCCCTTACCAGTATCAACTGATATTGCAGCACCACATCCATTCATAGATGTACAGCCTCTTCGCTGCCATGTGCCATAAACCGATATGCCACATTTTACAATATCAGTTGAGAGATTTTGTTTTTTCTTCATAATTTCGGTTGCAGCTTTTATCATGGATTCTTCAGCTTTTTCCTGAACCACTTTTAAAAGCTTTGCTTCCTGATTTTTTAAAGCAGTTTTGGTTAGTCGAGGCAATTTTAATGTCGAGCATAATTTAAATGCCCCAGCAAAACTTTTGCCTATATGCCGCATACCATATAAAAGCCTCGTATTTATGACAGATGCATTTACAACTTTTTTTGATGAAGCAAATGCTAAGAAAAAGTCACAAGACTTACATTTTAGTGTAAAATGGGAGTGCAATCCATATCTGGAATTCTCAATCAGTTCTACTTTTTCAGCAAAACGTTTTGGGCTGCAAAGTTGAGCAAAAGCTTCCACAATAAGATCAAGGTCAACGATTCTGTTACCAAACACAGGACTAGGTATTTCGTCTGCAGTTGACAAACTCTCATTTCCCTAACTTTGAAGAGCTAGCAGTACATACAGGAACTGCTGAAATGATGTTATTTTTCGAAGTTTTTTTAAGTTTCTTTCCATAAAATTGCCCCTTGCGCTTTCTAGCAATACTTTTAACCATTTTAAGTTAAAATAAAGCGAATAAAACAATCAAATAAACTTTTTACGCTTTCAGTTCTTTTCAGAAGAAAATCAGACGCACATGTAAACAAAGTCAAAACAACAAACTTGCTGTCAGGTTTTCAACATAAAAAGGAAAAATGTATTTCCAATACGTTTATATTTTATTCTTAAATGTTCCATTTTAATTTCTGACTAAATATTTGTATATTAATTATTATATTTCATGTCATATACCATGAAAAGAACGTAAACAAACAACTCAGGGCACTTCGGTTAGCAGAAAACCATTTCCGGTCCGAGAAATTTATGATTAAGTAATATTTAGAAAGCTGTAACTCGGCTTCTAATTAAGATAGAAACAAATATTAAACAGATTTACAAAGATAAAAGATTGAATTTTAATACAAGATCAAAACAAACATTCGATAGTTTGACCAAAAAATTGAGTTTTAAAGGTGTTCTGTCACCTTAAAAAGATGTTTGCCTCTGTTAGAGTTTACATTACAATTCTAAGCATTGTGAGTTGCATTGAAGTCGCCAAAAAGGACACAATAACTACTAGTTCGGAGAAAATATTCTAAATCTATTGTGGACAAGTTTTCATCGGAGGAAGAGGGAATATATACAGAGACAATAGAAATGGGATCTAGGTCATGGGGAGTTAGTATATTTTTAGTAGCTTCGATAGCTTGGAGGGCAGGGGTAGAGACACAATAATATTTAAGAGAATTTTTTATAAGAATAAGTGTTCCAACGGCGGCCACACTATTAATGATTCTATCATTCCTATAGCAGGTGTAGTTGGCTATTGTAAAAGTGTGCGATGGTCTCAGATGAGTTTCTTGAATGAGAAAAATATCGGGAGAGTGCTTCTCTATGAATATACGCAATTCAACTTTGCGTCTAAACAAACCATTTGCGTTCCACGAACACAAATTGAGGCCAATAGGGGACTTAACCATTATTATTATTACATGAAGCCTCTAATAAGGCGTGCATTTGATTAGGACTAATGCTTGCATTTTGCACTTGGTTAAAATTATTCATAAATTTGCATTTGAGCTAGCGATGGCTTGAGTAAAATGCGAGAGTTGACCCAGGCATTGCATTGTCATCTGTAAGGTGGCTTGCAAGTTAAAGTTATTACTATTAAAATTAATTCCTTTAAAGTTATTTCCATTAAAATTACCTTTAAACTTATTAGTAAAATTTGGAATAAATCTCTTTTTAGGGGGAGAGTTTTTCTTGGCCTCAGAGTTTGCGCAGAATTCACAGGTTCTTTTGGCGCCATCTGTTTTCTATTTTGAGAGTTAGAAGTACCTACATTTTGATTTTTTGGATTAGCAGCTTGAGCGTAAGAGATATTTCGTCTGACAATGCTATGGCAAATGTTGGTGTAAAATTACGATTATTAGAGCTGCCCTTAGGTGGCTTAACGTAGTCTCAAGGTCCAGGGTTACCTTATATATATATTTTTTTAATTTGCGATCCCCCGTTTTTCATGGATTAAAAGCAGAATTAACGTTTCTGATGTGATTAAAGTCATTATTTGTGTAGAAAAATATTCTTATTCATAAAATATATTAATATTAATGTGTATTTAAGCAGCTTAGCCGGTCATTTTCTTCCAAAACCAAGTTTTTTAACTTTGTGCTTAAGATGCCTACACGTGGCCCATCTGCAGCCATTATATTAAAAGCTAGCCAAACATGGCGTTAGAAAATTCTGGATTAAGGATATATGTATTTTCACAATTTTAAAATTTTCTAGACAATAAATGACATTTCTATTATTCATGTTGAATTTATATAAGTAATTTACGTTCTCAGCAAAAATTTTAAACCTATATTATGTTTTTAGTACATGTGGAACTCCATCGAAAAAAGAGTTGTAGTCGATGGGATTCGAACCCATGCGGGGATATGCCCCCCAGACGGTGAGTACAGGTCCCGTCTGGCGCCTTAACCTCTCGGCCACGACTACGTGGTGAAATGCATTGCAATAATAGGTTTGGTGTGAAATAATGAATTTTTAACGGAGAAAGCAATGAAAAAATTAGTAATATACTCGTATGCCATAGTTATGTACTCACCTATTTAAATAAATTTTTTTTTTAGGTGTGTGCTTTAAATGCAATTACAAAACAATTCCAAAAAACATCTCGAGATAAGAATGTTTGTAAAGTTAGCTGTCGCACATTTGGATTGGCTATGTGAGCATACAGTTCTTCCCGTAAATAGATTTTTGTTCGAATTTTTAGTAAAATTTCAATCTATGAAGAATTGATTTAATTTTTGGTGAATTTAATTATATTGTTCTAAACGTTCTCTTTTTAAAAAATATATGTCTTTCACTTAAATTCTAGTTTCCAATTGTATATTTAAACCGTTAGAATTGTCTTATTTATTAAAAAAATCAACGTCATTATTCTTACGAGACAAAAGAATCTTTCAAGATAATGATTCATTCAGTGTAACAGTAAATTGATAATTTTAAAATTTCTTAGCTAGCAATAACAGTAACTACTCTAAACGAAAGA